AGAGCACAAGTCTCCACCCATCACTGGTTTTGCTTCTGACTTTGGCAGTTCCCTGCTTTCAACATATGTGAGAAAGAGGGGCTGGACACAAAGAGCAGGAGGGTCCCTCGGGCACCTCAGACCTTCTCCAAAGCAGCCTTTGCAAGTCAGCATTTTGGGTGTCAGCTACAAGGAAAGAAGCCGCCCTCAAGAAAGCAGGGCTTCGTATATGCTCTTACCAACCTGTATGACAGAGCAAGCAGACCACTGTTTTGAACCAAATGAAACTCTGAAAGATTCCCAAGTCTCACTCTGAGCTACAGTCCTTAACTGTACTGAAGTCCAGAGGTTGCCAGTGCATAGTTTCTCACAGCCAGGTTCAAATCGGCTATAAGGTACCTAAGTTTCTTGCTCATCCATAGGTTGTTCATTTTCCTCTACCTGATCTTTGGCATTACAGTAATATGAAAACATCACAGCAGAGTCACTGAATAACCATAGTGGGTATATAGGGTGTAGCAGTAGACGGATGATAAAGATTTTTCCCTGAAGTCAATACTGGTGTCCAGGGCATATTTTACTAATTTGGTTTTTAATGCATTGCTGATACCTTTTTAAAGGTTTAATACTGATTGATTTGTAATGGCGTGGGTGTTCTCTGATGCTGAAGAGGGAAAAGACTTCTCCTTTCTTACTTTTGGTGTAAGGAACATGAGAAATGAAACAAGAAACAAAAAGGCATTTGAAGAGAAGACTTGGAAGAATTTAAGGAAGACCCAGAGAAACCAGTTAACATTTCTTTCTGTTTATCAAATTATGTGATGTTTCAGGCAAGAAAAGCAATCACTAAATAATGATTTAATAAGTTAAATAAAGTTCCTCTCTGTTTGCCAGAACTTTAAAAAGCATTAACAGTATTACGGCTCTATCTTGCCATTAATCTGTACAGATTTGACACTGATACCTTAAAGCAGCCCAAAAATGAAATATTCATCAATATTAAAATACCTCCTAACATTTCCAGACCTTTGTATTTGGAAAACTGCCACTATTCCCATTTCGGCTGCCATCCTGTGTCTGCTTTGGAGAGGCTTCCTCTTGATGTTTTGCAGAACAGCCTCTAATCGTCGAAGGAAACTCTGGATTGAGATTAGTATCCCCAGCAGAAAGGAATCTGCAGACACTGCTGTGTGTGAGTAATGCTGCGGGCGTTCGTCCAAGCTCAGGAACGAGTGGAATGTACCCCTTCTCACAGGTATGGGTGAAACAACATCACTGAGGTTGAAGTGAGGATTGGATGGAACTGAAGCGAGGGAGAAGTCCATACGTGTGTTTTCCATGTGTATGAAAATGGCTGGCTGCATTCAAAGAAATTAAAAAAAAAATTGGGAGCCAATATTTTAATTATTCAGTGCATTTATTTGCTTCTGATGGCACAAATAATCTATCACCGTAGCGTGTCATACAAGAAGTCAAAGGAACATTTCCACTTCAAGTCAAATGAAAAAAAAATCAGCGTAATGGTACTTTTCTGTGAACACATATAATGAATTTCTTTGTCTAATTAAACACTTAATCAAGCCAAATACCTGAATTTAAATTGCTGTTTATTATGGCTTTCCCTCGGATACAGGTGAAAGGAGAATAGGTTAGCTTGTGAAAGGCTGCGTAGACAGATGTTTTCCACAGCGGCTGCCATTACTAAGCAACCTGATGGAGAGCAGGGAACAATAAGGTAAATTATCAGCAACGTGAAGAGAAACCCGTTCAGAGCCGCAGCTTTATTTTGGCCTGCAACGGCTGTGGCTGCTACTTGGGAAAATAAAAAAGAAAAACCCATGACCCCCCGGCCAACCCTGCCGCCGTTTCCAGCCTGCCCCCAGGCTGCCGTTAGTTTGGCGCCGTTGCCTCTTAAAACCTTTGGCTTCGAAGCCGTCGTGCCCCTTACGGATTTACCGGCTGGAAAAATCAGGCCTGCTTGTTTATCTATCCCGTCCCCTCCGGCAGGCAACAAGGAGAAGAAATAGCTCAGTAGTAACGTTAAAGAGAGTTACACATTAATAAAGATCAAATCCAAGAACTTAGTTATAGCAAAGTGTTGCTTTCGTGTTACCTCAAAAGCAACTCCTATAAGTGGATAGGTGCCCTTTTAAAACATGTAAACACTAATAAATAGGAATATGAGTAATAGAATATAAACTAAACCTGGGGCGATTTATTTTAGGCAACTCATTTGTACCTGTTGTTTTATGAACAATATTTGCTTTTCAGGGGTCCGAATTACTATGCTTGCAAAAATCCAAGTGCAAATTCAAAGCTGGAAATGCAAAGCCATGACGGAACAAAAAGATGGAGCTTGGCAAAGCGCCTTGTGCATAAAACACACACTCGGGCAATGGAAGGAAAAGCTCAGGTTCTTGCCGCGACTCAGATTCAGCAGGGACCTGAACCTCGGTCTTGCAGGTGACTTGGCCTCATATGGCTTTTTTCTTCCCAACTTTGAAAGTAACCAATGACTGAAGCGAAAAAAACCCAACCCTGAACCACTGCACAGGCAAGACAGTGAGAAACTTACTCTATTGCACTGTGGTTACAGCACACACTCATCATGGGAATCCTGATGTGAAGTTCCTACTCCCTTTCGAGATGAGTTACAATACGGGGTATGAAGGGTTTTTTTTTTTCCCCTCACATTGAAAAATCTTATTCTTACTTTGAATGAGAATGGAAATGTATTTTGAAAACCCCACTTTTTTTTTTTTTTTTAAAGAAAATCGGATTCATGCTTTCCAATTCATGCTATAGAACAGACTGATTTAAAATCATTGTGGAAATTTCACAAGAAACTTGGTCTCATTAAACTCAGGAGCAAAATCTTCACTGATTTCCACAGGATCAGGATGTCATCTTTGGTTGATAATTGCTTACTGATACCACTTACCCTAGTATCTCTGCTAGAATAAATGCGAGCAGCCCTATTGATCCAACCAGCCACCCTTACTCACCTGTTCAAGACATTTGCAGAATCCATACAGAACATGGCTGAACCAGGCTTCTTTACCAAAAATACAGGTTTTCACACAAGAAATATGTGCTGTCACTGTTCAGTAAATGTATTTAATGTTAGGGTCTCTGTAATGTAAATACCAGATTTATTTTCTCATAACTTTTTGGAGATGTTCAGATCAATGCCATTGTGTGACTGACAAATTCGTGTCTTCCATAGATGCTGAAATTCTGCCTCCCCTTACGATTTCACGAGTTACCGTTAGAACCTGAAAGCGTTCCTTTTCGTTAGTCATTCCCTCCCCAGTAACAAGTGGAATAATTAGACGGTTTCCAAAACTTATTTCGGTATCTACGATGTGTGTCAGATAATGTCTGAGCACTCTAAATGCATGAACTTCTGTGTTGACAGTTGATGGTCCTCCATATGCTATCACTAGAAGAACAACTTCCCAAGAATATGTAGTATAATAATATGCAATATATAAAGGTAATAACAGCTCTAGAAAAGTAGGAATCGTGACAGCTGCAGAAATAATCTACTGTCAGCTGAAGAGATTATTATTAGGACACAGAGAGGTAGAACTTTTGTATCCATCCCGAGCCTATATTAGATACTGAGAAAAACAGGAGATGCTCTAGGACCATGGCTTTCGTCTGGTCGTTGATGAGGTACTGGCAAGTGGAGGCTTTTTTTAAGGAGCTTACCAGAAGCAGCTGAGAAAAGTGAGCCTACTGTCAGGAGGCAGAAGTTCACATCTCCATACAAAAGTATTCGGAAAAATACTGGGAAAAAAACCTAACTGAAAGCCACTATTTTTGGTGATCAGGAAGCAAGGATCAACATTCAGAATTGGTAGCAAGAGGGGTGGGAAGTGCTCCAATTTACAACTAAACCTTCAGCCATTAGTCAGGAAAATTGGAATGACAGATTTCATCCTGAAGACATTCGTTCTGGTCTACCTACTGTAACTTGCTGAAGACAATATGCATCTTTGGGCTTGCAGATACACTCTCCAAAGTCACTTCCAGTATTAAAGGAAGCTCTCTTTGTGTTGGGAATTCAGGATTAATCTTTTTTGTCAGATTATCAGCTCAGTGTGTTAAATTTCTGCAGCGAGACAGTGCTTTATAGTAAGTGTTGAGCGGTCTTCAGATGCTTCACTGAACAGGAACCATGAGGCAGTACTCTGTTTAGCAGAAGTTCTAAGGTTTTCATCAAAACTCTGCTATCTGCTCTACAGAGAAGCTAGGGATACGTCCCTAATACAAGAATTAATGTTCCCTTTTTCATTGGAATGGCTTCACGTATGAGCAAGGCGGTGGCGAGTCAAAGCAGGACAGTTGTCTGAGGTTGGCTTGCTTTTTCCAGCTGAAGGTTTCAAAGAGCTCCGAGGCTACGTGAGATGGTGTTC